GCTATTACTTCCTTTAATGTTTTATTTTTTAATTGACAAATAATAATCGTATATGTTCATGGGCTAGATAGTGATGCTTTGATACATATAACGTATGGCAACAGATCAGGGTAGTTAGCATATCCAGCATCTCAAACATTTATCATGTCTTTGTGTAGGGAACATACAGCATCCTTCTTCTAGCTGTTTGAAACTACATAATGCAGTAGTACCTCCATAATTAACCACCTCTCTACATTGACCACCTCCTTAAGTTGACCTAATTTTCATAGACTGCACATGTACATATCAGGATAGCAGGCCTAGTTCCTTATATTGACCACCTCTATATGATTTTCTTTTTTGAGACAGAGTCTCCCTTTGTCACCCTCAGTAGAGTGTCATGGCATACTAGCTCACAGCAACCTCAAACTTTTGGGCTCAAGTGATTCTCTTGCCTCAGCCTCCCGAGGAGTTTGAGGCAGCAGTGAGCCAAGATTGATTGCAATACTGCATTCCAGCTTGGGTGACAGAGCAAGACTCTATCTCATAAAAGAAAAAAAAAAAAAACTCTCCCTATCCTTCCCTTCCCCTGTTGTTGCTGTTATTATTCATGGTGGTCTTTTGCGTATAGAGGGCCTCCTCTACCCCAGGTAAGCTAGATTGAGGCATGAACAATGAAAACAAGGTCAGGCATGGTGGCTCATAGGGGGCTCCTAGCACTCTAGGAGGCTGAGGTAGGTGGATTGCTTGAGCTCAGAAGGTTGAAACCAGCCTGAGCAAGAGCAAGACCCTGTCTCTAAAAAAAAAAATATCCAGGTGTTGTGGTAGGCACCTGTTGTCCTAGCTACTTGGGAGGCCAAGGCAAGAGGAGCTCTTGAGTTCAGAGGTTTGAAGTTGCTGTGAGCTATAATGCCACAACACTCTACCCCAGGGTGACAGAGTGAGACTCTGTCTCGAAAAAAAAAAAAAGAATGAAAACAGGATGAATTCCCCACTACTGACTAAACATTTTCTGTGTGTCCCACCAAGTGCATTTGCCTCCTTACCCCTCATGACAGCCTTAGGAAGGAGAAATAGTTATTATTCGCATTTTGTAGAGGAATACACTGAGGCTCAGAGAGGGACATCTACCAGCTCAGAGTCCCACAGCAAATCCCAAGTGGAGCTGGGATATAAACTCAGAGACATGTGCTCTGGACCCCTGTGAGGGCTGAGAGAGCCACAACCTAGGGCTGAATGAGAAGGTCCACCTCCCCACAGGGTTTCCTGCCTGGTTCAGGGACTTCCAGCAAGAATGCTGAGGGGGGTGACAAAGGCTTGCCCTCTATGTGGTGACACTGACACCTTTTCTCTTTGCACACAGCACCTTCCACATTCGAATCTGAGAGCACCATGGAGGAGAAATTGAGCTCCCGAAGGGCAGGTTGACCCTTTACCCCATTGTGGAGACTGGTCATGGGGAATAAACACAAGTCACTGAGTCACATCTCTTGGGAGGACACATTTTCTACTTTGAAACTGGCAGAAAGGAGGGAGTAGGCCTGGAATTTTATATTTGCCTGCCACTGTGTGATGCTGGGTGTGGCCATACGATCTCCCTGTTTGTACAAGGACGGGTGCCTAGATTTTCTCCACTGTGAAGGCTGGAAATGCCTTGCTGTGGGTCTCTATGGGCAGAGATAAGGTGGCATGATCACGCTCACCCCAGGGCCCCCTGAGGTGAAACATCAGGTCGGAATTGTCCCTCAAGTTTGTTCTTTTCCCCTAATACCTGAGTTCTTCAAAGAGACTGACATGTTCACTCTTTGCTAATTCCTTCAAGCTGTCAAGAGCAGGCCCGTGATGGAGAGTGGCTGGAATGCCATTTGCTGAGACAGGGAAATCACTTTATAGTTTATGAGGCACCTGCCCCTGTGCCATCACATTGACTGCCTATGGCATCCTTGCAAAGTTGGTGGAGGAGTAATCATACTCTCATTTGGAAGAAGTAGAGTGACTTGCCCAAGGCCACATCACATGTCATTTGCAGAGGCC